AACCATCATCTGCCACTGACTATCTGTGTGCCCTGAGAAACTCGAATCAAGTCAATAAGATTTTTTTTTCATTTACGAAAAGAGAGAATTGAATTAGGTAACCTCTACTTACCAAGCATTAACTCCATGACTTCTATGGGCCAGACACTGTGCTATACCTTGAGGATACAGAGACAGAAAGCAAATAGTCTCTACCCTCAAGAAGCTTGCATTCTATCAGAGGGAAAAGCATGTTTGTGTATGTGTATTTATACTATGAGTTTATACACACATACCTATGTATGTATATGCATGCACGTATATGTACATGAAGAAGAAATACAAGCTCAAATACAAGATCGCTGGTGAAGTAGGACACTAGTATCTTGGAGAGGGAGGAGGGATAGAGAAAGATATCGTGTAGAAGGTGGTGTTTGAGTAGGAGCCAGAAGGAAGTTGGGGATTTTGTGGGGTGGTGAAGAGGCGTATCATTCTAGGAATAGACATTCTAGGGAATTCATGTTCTCCATGAGGCCAAACCAATGTACCAAGTCACAGGGATTGAAGTTTAAGTGTTGTGTGTGGCGAACAATTGTATAAAGTATAGCAGAGAGCTCAAGGACAAGGAATGAGAAAGGGCCATTAGATTTGACTATTCATTATCTGTACTTTGGCATTATGGTAGAATGAAAAGAGAGCTGGCTTCAGAGCCAGAGCCCTAATTTCAAGCTCTGCCTTTAATCCTATACTGGCTGTGTGATCCTGGGTAAGTCACTTCACCAAACGACTTCTCTGGCAACTCTATGAAGGCTATTAAGCCGCAGAGAAGATGCCATCAGAATTTGCATCTATCCTGTCTCCTATCCCTAGTAAGAATGCCCTGGGAAATGAGGAGCTCAGCGAGGAAGCAGAATATTTTGTCGGAGAACTGGCAAATGCTTGACCATGTGGGACTGACCCAGTCACTCTGCCCTGATGGGCTGAGATGTTTCAGGGAAGTAGAATTGTTTGGATAGCTCTTTAGGAAAACTGGAAACCCTGTTAGATTAGAATGGATGGGATGGCATCAGGGAAGGACAATATACTGCTTTATACCATTTTTTTCTGCACTGGACTTGTATAGGGAACTTCCAGGGAAGACTGCCCTCTACCAATGGGGGCCTTTCAGTCTTAGAGAAATGCCACTGAAATGGCCAGTTGGGCTGCTGTTGCTGCTGCTGTTCACTTGTTTCAGTCGTGCCCCACTCTTTGTGACCCCATTTAGGATTTTATTGGCAAAAATTCTGGAGTGGTTTGCTATTTCCTTCTCTAGCTCGTTTTACAGATGAGGAAACTGAGTCAAACAGGGTTAAGTGACTTGCCCAGGGTCACACAACTAGTAAGTGTCTGAGGCCAGATTTGAATTCATGAAGGTAAGTTTTCCCGACTCCAGGCCTGGTGCTCTGTGCACTATGGTGCCCCCTACCTGCCTCCCAATTGGACTGCTCCATGCCTAGAAGACAACAAAGACCAAAACGATACTGGCAGCTGACATTTCTCCAGTGCCTTAAGGTTTGCGGAGCACTTCACAGACATTTTCTCAGGGGATCCTTGTAACAACCCTTTGAAGTCAGTATTATTATTAGATCTATTTCATAGATGAGGAAAGTGAAATCTAGGGAGGTTAAGTCATACAACCAGTAAATTACAGAACTGGGGTTAGAACCAATATATTTCTGTGTCTCAGCCCAGAATTCTAACCATGACATCACACTCAACAGTCATCCCTCTCAGAGATGCAATGATGCTTTTATAAAGAGAACTATAATACCCAGAGAGCCTACAACTTAACTAATAAAAAAAGCTAGAAAGAAACATTTCTAAATATTCACTTAAAATTACTTTTAACCTGCAGTAACACTTTGAGACAAAAAAGTTGATCTTGTGCACCCGTACTTATTCAGACGTCGACAATGATCATGTGATGCACACAGTGGAACTCTCAAACAGTGAGAAAATACCCTGTCCCTCTCCTCTCCACCCCCATCTTGTGTTTATCATGGTGATGTAGTTAGCTTATTACCTTGTCATTTTCTAAACAGATTGACAAGCATCTACTTTTCTTCTTTCCTGTCATACTAGCCTTCCACATTCATTCTTGTTTTTAAATTAAAAAAAATAAATAAATAAACAACAGCAACAAAAACCTATCTCTCTCTTTCTGTCCATAAGGCAGGCCAGTCAAGGCAATGATGGCTGAGTTATTTTTCTTGTTTTGTTTTGTTTTTGTTGTTGTCTCTAGCTCCATCCTTGGCTAGATCTAGCTAGATCAGGCAGCCAAGTATCCCTGAATGGGCACGACTGTGTCAGAACAGTGATGCTGACTTGTCTCCCCATGGGATATCCAACAGGGATTTTCCTTCAGAGACAATCCACAGAACTCATCAAGTTTCCTCTCCTCTTACTTACTTCACAGTCAATTTCTCAGGCACTAAAGAGAATTTCACAAGCACCAAACCATTCCCATGCTGCCCCTAGTTAAATGACTCTAGAAAACACGTATTTGGAGTTTGATTTAACCTGAGATATCAAAAATTCTGTTGGGTTGTAGGCCATGAGAAAGTGAGATTGTCAACTCATGTCCTTGAGAGATCAGAGCTTACTCAAGAACTAATACACTTGTATGCATGGATAGATTATATATAGATGTATTTTTCAAGTTATATGTAGATATTGATAATTGACATGAAAAACAGACCTTCTGGGCATGGAGGTATGGGGAGCAGGGCTCAACTCTACCTCAGATCCTCTGAAATAAAATCCTTTATTAAATCCAGACCTTCTATTCATGTAGTCTTACAGGAACATTGGAAATCATCAGGCAAGGTCAACAGAACCTCACTTCCTTAGAACATAATTATCCAACTAAAACTTCATGTTAGCACTTTATTTGACGTTTTAAAAACCACAGAATGGATGTTACTCTGGGTGAATCCACGTGCAAGAAGGAGTGTGACATGATGACCAGACGCTTGGACTTAGCCTCTGGGAGACTTGGTTTCCAATTTTGCCTCTGACATGTATTAGGTGTGAGACCCTGGGCAATTCACTTAACTTTTCTGGACCTCGGGAGACGTGATGAAGTAGAGCTGTGATCCTCTTCCTGTTGTAAGATTTCCCTTCCATTGTTATGGTTCTTGTTCGTGTAGTTCTGCTTCTCCTTTCTCTGCCTTGCATCAGTTCATAGAAGACTTCCCACATTTCTCTGGATTCTTCAGTCACCATTTTTTTTAACACAATATTATGTAGAGGACGATAGGATCACAGATTTGGAACTCAAAGGGACTGTGGAGAACACTGGGTTCAACCCCCCTCATTTTACAGTTGAGGAAAATGAGGTGTCAAGAAATGGACTATCTGAGGAGCCAAGAGATGAGGTGACTCGTCCAAGGTCACACAGCTAGAAAGAATCTGAGGTGGCATTTGAAACCAAGTCTTTCTCACTCCAAGTCCGGCACTTAACCTGCTTGACTATGTTGCTTTTATTACATTCTAATAATAATAATAACTCACATTCATAGAGCAGCTTTGTTTGCAAAGTACTTTATGTCTCATTTGATCCTCACCACAACCCTGGGCAGTAGGTACTATTATTATACCTGTTTTATGTGTGGAGAAACTGAGGCTCAGGGAAATAAAAGTGTTTGCCTAGCATCACACAGCTAGTAAATGTCCCAGGCAAGATTCAAACTCAGGTTTTGCTAATTTAGAATCCTGCTTTCTATCCACCATCCAATACAAATCATATCTACTCCCCAATCGATGGGGTGCAGAGATTATATGGATAATTAGCCATGGTTTGCAGATAAAGACACTGATGTACCCAAGGTCCAACAAATAGGAAGGGACACAGTCAGGGCTTGGAGTCATGATTTTCCTACTTTGTATCTGAAAGTTAGACCTCAAAACCTGCAGCAAGGCAGGGGAGGGGGAGTATCCAAAGTTTATAGCCTGAGGAAGGGTCCAATGAGATATGATACACTGGAGACTTTCCTCCCTTTCTCCTCACAGTGGAAAAGAACAGTGAAGCAATCAGGCTGCCCATCTGCCATTTTGGCCCTTGTTACACAATTAGCTCATCTTCTTTCCCTGTAAGACATATCCCAAAGATGTGTGTCACTGTGATGGAGTCCATTGCATAACTAGACCCCAAGAAATCCTTTAAAATATCTCAAACAAATCTTTGTACAACTTTGTTTTTAGATCTCCAGTGAAGAGAAACCTGCCACCTTGGGAAAGGATGAGTTCCTTCAACTCTCTCCTCTCTGGTCACCTTCTTCACATCCTCCTGGTCAATTTCCCTTTTGCTCTGTTTCTACTCTTTTCTCCCCAATCCCTTCCCTCTCCCCCAACCTTCCTTCCTTCAGTTCTAGAACCATGAACCATGATCAACTTTTCGTTGTCCTAGAGGGGACCTGTCTGTCTCTTTCTCAGAAGGCACACACATCATTCTGATAAATTTCTGGAACAAAGAATTCCTCCCTGGCCACCATTGCCTTGTTTCCCCCATGAAAATGCAAGTTCCTTGAGCACAGTGTCTGTCTGTTTTTTTTTTTTTCATTTTTTGTTTGCATCTCCACCCCTAAGCACAGTGATTTGTAGACAATAAATTCTTTTTTATTCATTCTTCTCTACATGTCCCCTCTCCATCCTTCTCACTCTCCTCTGGATGCCGTACAATTTGTCATCACCCTTCCTAACAATTGATGGCACACTGACCACCTGGCTCACGGGCACTGAACAGCAGCTGGACGTTTGGAAGGCTTCTTGATACATCTTCAATTTAGACATTTGTCCAAGACTCAGCAGTACGACTATCCCCTTCCCTCCCTCCCATCCCTTTGATAGGAGTTGCGATTTCACTGGCATGGAGAGTGCCCAGTGAGGAACAGTCTCCTCCAATGCTGATTAAGCTCCATCCACTCAGTGCCATCCAGACACCACTTCCTTCACTGGGCACCAGTGGCCTCCTCTTTCCTTACCTCACACTTGTTCAGGAGCCCTGTTTCTTGCAGCCGTGACCAGATGCTCTGTATCCTCCCAGCGTGCTCAGGATGAAGGGCGGAGCGGCCGCAGACACATTGGTGCTTCAGCATCAGAGCATCATACACCACACCTTCCACGGGAAAAGAACACAGTAACCACAAATTAGGGAACACTACTTCAATCCTTCCGGGGTCTGGAATTTCAGCAGTTATGTGTGAGTGAAGTGGCAGTGAGCTAGGGTGGGAGGTCCTCCATCATTGAAGATCACAACTCCATCAACAGCCAAAGAGATAGTCTCCCAGTGGCCAAAAACTCATTTGGGTCCTAGACCTAGAAAGCCCTCAGACACTTTGTAGACCAATCCCTTCATGTTATACTTGAGGAAACTGAGGCTCTGGGAGGTTGTGACTTGCTCAAGATCAGAGGCAGGATTTGAACTCTCCTGATCCAGGGCTCTTCCCATGGTGATGAGTGGTTCTCAGTTTAGTTAGGCTAGGCCTCAGTCCAAAGACCTATGCCTCATCCTTCAAGCTCTATTTGAAGTCTCATCAGATCAGGAGCAAAGGCAAATCAAGGCCACAATTAATTGAGTACCTACTATGTGCCAGGAACTTTGTCAAAGCTTGGGTTCTCCTGAAATAGCCTTAAGGACAATAAGAGACTGACTCCTTCCATGTGAGAGCATCAGAGGAGGATTTTGATGGGACAAGATAGAACTCATTACTATTATTTTAACACAATCATCCTTGGGAAGAAAATAATTCTTTAAAAACAATTATCTATGTGTATATATATATATGTACATGTGTGTGTATGTTTGTGTGTGTGTGTGTGTGAGTGTGTGTGTGTGTGTGTGTGTGTGTGTATACACAGAGAGAACCAGAAGACAGACAAGGCTTCCTTTGGGGCCCTGGGAAAAAGCAGGCCTCACATGTAGTGATGGATCTAGGGTCACTTTCCATGCCTGTGGAAATAGATGACAATTATCTCCACTAATGTAAAATTGATATTGCACCACCGTAACAAAATGAAACTTAAAAAAATGGATTTTGTTTTGCATTTCTACTCATAAAAGTGAATGAGCTTCAAAAATCCTTCCATTGATTATGGTTTTAGTGCAAATCACCATTCAAAGCTACAGCTACATTCTGAAGGGAAGAACTTTTAGGTGCCTGGCGGCACTGCCCTAGAGCAAGGGATTGGTTCATTAAGCAAATTCTCTTTTCCCACTGATAACCTTTATGAAATCTGGGGCATATTCTTCTGGGGTAGGGCTGGGAGGAGCACTGGGATTGACCCCTGGAGATAATGAAAGCACGCTTAAGAATGATATGTCTTTTGAAGTCCCTTATGTTAAGTTTGATTAGAAAAAAATATTTAAAATAGTAGCAACAATGCTTCTTCTTCTTCTCAAACTAAATCATAAAAATAATCATAGTATAAATTTATGTTATCGTTTACGATACTGAAAGCCCTTTGACCACATTCTCTCCCTCAGTCCTCAAGATAGCCTGTGATTATGCCCAAAGGGCTATCAAAATGTGCATACCCTCTGACCCAGCAATAGCACTTCTAGGGCTACATCTCAAAGAGATCACACAAATGGGAAAAGGACCTACAAGTACAAAAATATTCCTAGCAGCTCTTTTTGTGGTGGCAAAGAATTGGAAATTGAGATGATGCCCGTCCGAATGGCTGACCAAGTTGTGGTATATGAATGCGATGGAATACTATTGTGCTAAAAGAAATGATGAACAGGCTGACTTCAGAAAAACCTGGAAAGACTTGTATGGTCTGATGCTGAGTGAAGTGAGCAGAACCAAGAGAACGTTGTACACAATAACAGCCACATTGTGCAATGACTAATATTGATAAACTTAACCCTTCCTGGAAATACAAGGATCTAAGACATCTCCAGAGGCCTCGTGATGGAAAATGCTATCCACACCCAAAGAAGAACTATGGAAGCCAAATTATTATTTTTTTTCTCTTCTGTTGAATTTTGTTTCCTCTTTCTGATGGTTCCTCCTATTGATTTTAATTTCTACTTACAACATCACTAATGTGAAAATATGTTTAATATGAATGTAAATGTATAGCCTATATCAGATTGTGTGCTGTCTTGGGGAGGGTGGTGGGGAGAAAGGAGGAGAAAAATTTTAAACTCAAAAGCATATGGAAGTGATTATTGATAAATCAAAAAAAGTAATAAAAAAATTTAAAAAAGATAGCCCTGTGAGGAACATAACAGAAAATATTATTATTACCATTTTATTGATGAAGAAACTGAGGTTCTAAGCCAAAGCTGCAAACCTAGGAAAGGTCAGAGCTAGAATTCAAACTTGGGTTTCCTGATTCCAAGAACAGCGTACTGTGATCATAGTAAAGAGGAATTGTAAAATGTTAATACTAGTAGGGACCCCCAGGATGTCACATTTTCCTTACCACCCAAAGGCCCTGGTGTCTGTTCAAAATTGTTACTTTCTTGAAAGGAGGAAGTAAAAAAAAAAAAAAAAAAGATCTCTGGTCTATTGTTCCCATTCTGAATATATCGTATCCCTGAGGGGTCTGGCACTAATCTCTGAAGAGTTCAGTTCCAGACATGTGCAGCAGGCTGTAAGTAAATGGAAACCTTGTCCACTTAATTAACAGTGCAAATGCCACCAGGATTGACTTCCTGCCTCTTCATTGACTTCCCAAAGCCATAAGAGGGCCAAGATCAGCGTTTACTTTCCCAGTAGAATGGAGAAGACCTCCCGTTCTGATGCTTGGCCTTCAGCCTGTTGGGATCACTGCGTCTGGACCTGGGAGGGTCCAAGGGCTGGGCCTGGAGTTAGGGAAGGACGAGGACTGATAAGGAGACCCTCTGACACCTTCCCCCTGAGCACCCTTGGCCAAGTATCTGCATCTCTCTTAGCTGAAACACGGGGCTACTGATACTTGTGGTCCCAGAGTGACGGGGTTGTTATGGTGATCAAAGGCCATAATGCAGGTTAAGTAAACCTGGGAACGGCCAGCTACCATTACTTTTCATACAAAGAAACCGAGGCTCCAAGAGACTGAGTGATTCCCGCATGGAGGAGTCATTCAATAAGCCCTAAGTTCCTACCAAGGGGCTGAGAATACTAAGATAAAGATAGCATAGTCCCTCCCCTCAAGGAGCTTACATTCTGCAAGGGAGAATAACATAAACCTATATCAGAAAATATGCAAAGATTCCAAAATGTCATAGGAAGCCAGACATAGAACTGGATCAGAGCCCAGGGGCCATGAAGTCTAGCCCCCTCCTTTTACAGATGAAGAAACTGGTTCAGAATTGGAAGTGACTTACCCAGGGTCGTGCATCTTAAACGTGTCTGAGGAGAGATTCGAACTCAGCTAAATACAAAGTCATTTAGGGGAGGCAGGAACTAGCAGCTGGGGGATGAGAAAGACAGAGTCGAACCCAGATCTTTGCTGGTTCAAGGGCCAGTCCTCTCACTCCACCCAAGTAGGGAGTTTGTCTTCTTCACTGGGCTCAGACCTATGTTCCCACTATGGAAGCCACCAGCTTCAGGCAGTTGTGTGATTGGGCTGAGTACACACTAAAATTGCTTTCACACTTGCAACCTTGCTTCCAAGCTAATTCTGTTAAACTCTTTTCCCATCATCTTCTAGCAAGGCCTGCCTGATCATAAAGTAGGCCCTGGTGTCTTGAAACTATTGTTGAGTATCTAGGATTCTTAACAGAAGTTCCATGAAGCCCCCATAAACCTTGGGGGAGGCAGGAATTAAGATGATGGTGATTCCAGGGTCAAGAAATGTGCGGAAGCCCCGAGTACCAGGGTCTCCTCTTCGTGAAGCGTCACCAAGATGCCACCAGAGACAGCGGGGCCTTCCTCACACCTACAGCGGGTCCCACTCACCCCGTTTCCTCCATTTCCAAGAACGGACGCGTTCCGTCCCTCCTGGGGTTTGTCTAGGAATGGTTTGCTTCTGGTTGTGTCTGAATTGTTCCTCACTGTGCACACATAATAGGAGCTAAATCCTACTGGACACTGTCAGACAAAGGCCTCAGCCTTCCACGGGCCTTACTTTCCTCATCTATAAAATAGGAGGGTCAGACCGAGCCATCTCTGATGTCACTTCAGGCTCTCAAAACCCAAAGAACTAGAATTTCTCTTGAAAGGGCCTCATATGAAGAAAGAGGCACAACAATCTATCCATCCATTCATCTATCTGCGTGTATGTGTATGCATATATGTGCACATGTATATGTGTACATATACATATAAACACATATATGCACATGCACATAAATTTATATATTTATATATGTTTGTATAATGTAGGTTTCTGTTACGTATGAATATATAATAAAAATATGTTGCATTAAATTGATAACTGTGATAGATATATTAAATTAATAAATATAATAAAATACATGATAGCTTTTTTATTTATGTATATGTTAAACTGGGAGGGAGGTTACAGTGAATAAGGGTCTGGATTGTAATCAGGAAAACTGAATTCAAATTCTGCAATTCTGCCTCCAACACTTACCAGCTAGCTGACTCTGGGGAGTCACTACACATCTCTGGGCCTCAGTTTCCTCATCTGTAAAATGTCAGGGTTGGACACAATAGGCTCTAAATTCTTTTCATTTTATAAATAAGCAATTCTATCAACCAGAGTCTGCATGCTCTGAGGAATTCCTGTCCTTATATAATCCGTATAAGGAACTATAAAATTAAATGGATTTAGGAGCAAAAAACTCTTTTTTTTTTTTATTCATGAAATTAAAGAGTGTCTTTCTTATTAATTACCACCATCAGGAAGGCAGCAGCTGTTGCCCAAACCCCAGATGAAGAAGGCATCAGCCTCTCTTCTCCTCTCAGCAACCTCTAAAGATGGATCTGACCCAGGCTCCAGGCAGTGCTTCTAGTCTGGCCTTCGCGGTGCAGACCTGAAAGCGCTGTTCAAAACAAGAGCCAGAATGCTAGGTAGAGCATCCAAGGCCTGTCACTTAAAACCAAAGCCATTGTGGCTAAGTTCTAAATCTCCGTATGCCTCAGTTTCCTCATCTGAAAAATGAATTTGTTGGACTAGCTGGGGTCCAAGGTCCTTTCCAATTCTAAATCTGCTTCTTGACTCCAGGCCTAGCACTGTGTCCGCTAGGCCACTCGGCCACCCATCGGTAATTAAGGGATCCTGAAATCTCTGTACATCAGAGCTCTTCCTTTTATTGTGGCTGCCTTGCTACTGAGTAGAGCCAATGTAGGTGTCCATGTTTCAGGTCAGGGGACCAATTTCTCACACTAGAAAGCAAGATGGTGCATGGCTTTTTCCCCCTTTAGATCCATAAGAAATAACACCAAAGTACTGGACCAACATTGGCATTTGAAAAAGCCAAATAAGGGAATTTTCATCATTCTTTAGACAGAGAACACAGTAAAGGTCTCCAGGTTTTCCTGTGTTCGTTACGTTATGCCTAGAAAGATGAGTACATTAGGTCCGCACAGAAAACCATCTTTGATATCATGTGCATTATAATAACCTGAGGCTTCTAGGGGAAATTGGGGTATGAAGGTAAGTGAACAGAACTGCCCGAAAATCTGTCCAATGAATATCAACATTATATATGTACATAGATATTGATGGATGGATGGATGGATGGATGGATGGATGGATGGATGGATGGATTAATCCACTGTCAGTGTCAGGGTGATTCACTGATGCTACAGCATGTCTCAAGCATATGCCTTTTTTTTTTAATGTGCTGAATGTCTTTTCTCTTTAGTGCTAATAAAGCTAGGGAAAATTGAATAAAGATGTTTTCACTGATCATTCTGGGTAAATACAGATAATTTTTTTTTTGTTTTTTAGTGAGGCAATCAGGGTTAAGTGACTTGCCCAAGGTCACACAGCTAGTACATGTCAAGTATTTGGTCTGAGGCTGGATTTGAACTCAGGTCCTCCTGACTTCAGGGCCGGTGCTCTATCCACTGTGCCACCTAGCTGCCCCGTAAGTACAGATAATTACCCAACTATTTTCTATTCTTGGGGTGTTTGCCCCAGATTCCATGCTAGAATGCAGTCAAGCATCAAATATTCATTCAAGAAGGCAGGTAGTGTGGTGCAGTGGTAAGGGCATGGACATACTTGGAGTCAGAGGACCTGGGTTTGAATACTGCCTTTGCCTCATGTGATCCAATTTCTTCCACCGTAAATCAAGGGGCTTGGGCTAGAAGGCCGCTGAGGTCCTTTCTAACTCTAGGATGCAGCTGGAGGCTCAGTGGGTGGAGTGCTGGGCCTGGCATTAGGAAGACCTGGGTCCAAAACTACTTTGTGACCTTGGACGAGTCACTCAACCTCCTTCAGACTCAGTTTCCTCATCTGCATGATGGTGAGAATAATGGCGCCTACCTTTCAAGGTTGGTGTGAGGATTAAAGGAGATGTTTGTAAAGTTCTCTGCAAACCTACGAACACTCTGTAAATGCTATTATTCTACTTTTATCTAGGATCCTTCTCTCCATGAAATATGAGTGAGCACTAGGGTACGGCAGGCCTAGTGATCATGCACTGCTTGTATAACTTCGGCACACAAAATCAAAATGACTTCCTTCAACTCCAAGCCATTCATTGAATTGAATGTTTATCTTATTATGTTACTCACCAGGCATTAGAATAAGAGCCTCTGGGCAGCCACGTTCTCTGCTTTTAGGCATCCTCCCAGGGACCCAGGGCAGGAATGTTTTGAGATGAAAAGTCACTTTTCCCTCTCACCTGTTGGTTGGGAGTATTTTACTTTTGGATGGGGCTTATTGCCCACCACCATTTCATGATTGTCCCAGTAAAATGCAAGCTCCCTGAGGGCAGGGATTATTTGATTTTTGATAGAGTGGCTATTGTACAAGAGCTGGATTTTGGGTCTGATCCTAACTAGCTGTCCCTTCAAGTCCTTTAGCCTCAGCTTCTACATCTGTAAAATGGAGGCGATTGCCCCAAGGCTCGAATGAGACGTCATATTAAGTGCACTGCAAAGTTATGAGCATGACGGCAATGTCAGCTATCAGTATCACTGTCCCCATACAGCCAGCGCTGCACTCTGAGCACGCACTTTAATTCACAGGTCTTGGCTTGGACCCAAGGACTGTGGAAATGTTCTCCACCCTGCCCAAATGCTGGACTTTTGGCAACACTGCTCACTGAACACTGACTTCCCCCCACCCCATCACATCTCTAGGGAGTCAATGAATAAAAAAAAGAAAGAAAGAAAAAACTCTGGGAACGAAAAGGCATCAGGAAAGCGTCACCCTTCATAACGCTCTCCAACAGACCAAGAAAAGAAAATGTTATCAGTAGGAAACCATTTTACAGGAGTAGACAGCCACACATGTGGGCCCCATAGAACCAGCCTTTAAAACGTAAGCAAACATTTTAATTAAGAAAGTCAGGGAGCTGGGGAGGGAGGCGGTAAAGGAAAGATCTCTCATTCTCAGGTAAATATTGTTTTTTGTTGAGAATGCAAAGACTCGCCTGAGAATGGCACACAGTACGAGAAGGGAGCCTCTGTTTCAAAGAAAGGCACCAGGCTTTTGATAGGCTTGGGCCCGCCAGTTCCCAAATATATTCCTACATGCGGTGAACAAATTATGCCTATAGACCCCAATGGAACTAACCAAAGAATGCCGGGAGCCAAGGAATAGGAAGCTTCCATGCTGGCCACACAGAGGCCCTGGGTCATTTGGAACACGCTGGCTGAACTGTCCCAGCCCAGAAACAAGAAGGATCACAGGAAGTGGTTAATGTAGGAAAGGCGGCTAGGACGTGGAATGCTGGCTGGTGGTGTAGCACATTATAAAAAGGAATTCCTAGGCCAACTTAATCAGAGATGCCTATCAAAGCTAAATACCTTGGCCGGTCCACTCATCCACCGTAAATCTAAGATGGTATCAAGGATTAGGCTAAGGATTTCGGGAAAGGTATTTTAGCTTTGCAGGCATGGAGGGTTGCATGAGGACACAGAAACCACAAAAAAACAAGATCTCACTCTGAGTTTACAAAGTTTTTTTTTTTTCAAAAATCCCCCAAAGAGACAGTTTGTCAAATCCTCTGGATTCACTCCACAACCCAATGAGGAGACATTTAAAAAAAAAAGGTGCTTAGCACAGGGTCTGGCATGTAGTAGGTGCTTAATAAATGCTCGTCTCTTTCCTTCATTCTCTCCATTCTACAGACAAGGGATGAAGCCTCGGAAGGCTAAAGCATCTTTCGTCTGGAATGAAGCTAGAGTCCTCGCTTTTGTCATTTGCTGTAGTCAATTGGTCAAAAGAATCTCCAAACTTAGCTAAGTTAGTCCCTGGAAAAGAACCCAGTTGCTCTGAGTGTACTCCAGCACGTCCAGCATGGAAGGACATTCCAAAGCTTCCAAGGATTAGGAGAATGTAGGGTCACCTCCAGGTCCCAAGGAGGTACCAGGGGATGAGACGTGTGTCTGTCTCTACAGCTGCATGGGTGTGCGCCCACACAATCCTGGAGATGTATGTGTATGTACACACAGACTCTGATTTAATCCACTCCCTTTGTTTGAGGAGCAGCCCTGGCCCACTTCTGTCATCTCAGACCTCCGCGATCTCCTGGCCTTGGAAACCTTTGTCTTGTCCTAGAAGAGAGTGCTGTCCGTTGTAGCGGGAGGGAAAGGGCCCAGCACACACGCGCACACACGCACACATACACACACACCCCTAGGAATGTGGAAAAGAAGCAAAACATGCATAGGATCCCAACACACTTTTTGTGGTATGTTTGCCCCTGTGCACCATTCATTGGGAAAGGCTTCTGGAGAGAAAACAAATCCGTGCTCATAATGACATTTCCCTTTGGAGTCTAAGAAGAAAGCTGGGCATGGTAAACACCCCTTTAGGCCTGCCCTAGTGGCCAGAAGCCAACTCTGTGGAGAAAGGAAAAAAGCTGGGAACAAAGAGGGGACAATGGTTTTTGGCATGGATATTTATGCTATTTTCCCCTTTTCCAAAAGGGGCTGTGCACCTGTTAATGCAGGAGTAGAATTGGTATGTGATAACAATTTATGGGGCTATGATTGCAAAGCCCCAGATTTATCAGCTGTGGTGATTGTCTTGGCCAACACAACCTTGTAAAACTAGGGCAAAGGAGGTTCACACGGAGCCGCCTGCTACCGGAGGCATTGAGGCATTGAAAGGGGTGCGTTTGGCCTGCCTTGCTAGAACGCAGTCTTTGGGGAGGCCTACCAGTCTCAGAGACGCGGTGGAGCATCTGATCCGGGGCTGGGTGAGGGACCATCGGAGCAGCAGGGGAAGAGCGGCTCCTGGAGACAAGGAGGTGTTGGTCAAAGGCTTCTGTGCCAACCGTGGCCAGCTGAGCTGGGTACGCTGGGAGCGCGTGTCCAGGCTGAGGCTCCAGGAACGGCTGTCACCGAGAAAAGAGCAAAGGAAAGAGGAACACGTGGAGAGGAACAGGTCAATAAATTAAGTTCATTAGGCCAGTCATCATAAATAGCGTGAAGCAGGAGGAGAAAAAAAGAAAACCAAGGCCTCATCGATAAATTCATGCAGCAGATGTTTTCCCGCTGACAGCCGCAGTCGGCCTCCCCACCTGGTCCTGGGTGACGGCAGGAAGCCTGCCTGTCCAAACTGAAGGAAAGAAAACACCTTTCTCTTCAGAGGGAAAGACGTGACCAGGGCATCCGTAGAGCAACGCCTTGAACTCCCTCACAATCAATCAATCAATCAATCAATCATCAATCAATCAACAAAAGTCTATTAAAAACCTACTATGTTCTAGTCAAGTCAGCCTCCAGACTGTCAGCACAACAGCGTAGGGACGCGTCGTCCTCTTTAAGATCAGTGAAACTTCTGACCCCCAGTAAATCCAGTAATAAAAACCAATAGAGTCAAGGCAATTTGGCCTCTTGTGGCCTGAAAAGGATGGTACTAAACCAGGATTTTCTCCAACAGTTTCCTACAGTTACTATAGGATAACACTGTTCTTTCGTAATTCATGTTTTACTTCCTTAGGGATCTAGAAATCCTACAAGGATGGGCCTGGTGGCTGCACACAAGCGTGCTGCTTGAGAACTAAGTCCTGAGGGTATCATGGACAGAAGGATGGGCAAGCGCTGCTGCGGAATTCATGAGACATTCTAGGGAGCAGAGAGGAGTGTTAGTGCATGCAGCCCTGGACTCGTGGTGGAGAAGTTGGGGTGTTACTGTTCAGTCACATCCAACTCTCCGTGACTCTACTTCTTGGCAGAGATACTGGAGGGGTATGCCATTTCCTTCTCCAAATCATTTGACGGATGAGGAAACTGAGGCAAACAAGGTGAAGCGACTTGCCTGGGGTCACCCAACTGAGGCCGAATTTGAATTCAGGTCTTCCTGACTCCAAGCCCAGAGTTCTATCCAATGTGCCACCTAGCTGCCCTGTAGTTGAGAAGACCTGAGTTCAAATCCTGTTCTGGACACTTACTAACTATATGTTCTTGGCCACGTTCTTATCTCTCTGATTCTCATTTTCCTCTCTGTAACATGGAGATAATAATAGCACCACCCAGAGTGACTGGGAAAATCACATTACATCATCTATGTAAATTGCTTTGCAAACCTTAAAATGATACACAAAGTTTAGTTAGCTGGCTAGTAACGGTGATGGTGGTATTGGAAGTACAAAAGGACAGAGGATTTGTATCTCCATCATCAGAGAGTATAATCTTACCACTGAAATCCTTAACTCATTCTTCGGGGCCTCAGTTTCCTGCAACTCAAAATAAAGGGGTTAAAATAAACTTAAAATAAAGGCTGCCCGAATTCTGAAGCTCCTTCCTATGCTGGATCTGTGGGTCTGGGCTCTAATGACCCCCAGATCTATAATGTTGATAGTCAATAATGAATAGACATTTATTAATAAATATTAAAAGAAGAGTGTATGTGTGTGTCAACATTTTCCAAGTATTTTCAACTGTATTATCCATTTCTCAAAATGTTCAGGTCATATAATAATAATGATGATCATTGTAATAACAGCTAACACCTGAATGTTTACCACATTGTTTAAAGTTTACAAAAGTCTCATCTGAGTCTCTGCAACAACCCTGTGAAACAGGTGTGATATTATCCCCATTTTACAGAAGAGGAAACTGAGGTGAGGAATAAAGGATCATGGAGCCGGAAAGATCCCTGAGGAGGTCATCACATCCGATCCCCTGTCCTTCAGGAAGGTTGCGCTTCAAATTCAGACAGGCAGCTCTCTGGAGGAGATTCCCAACTGCCAAATTTTTATAACCTAAAACTCCAGGAAATTCTTCATTTCGAGCAGAATCTCTCATGCTTCATTTTAAGCCTGTTTTGTTCTTGATGTGTGCTTAGCGGAGATGGAGGACAGCATGGCCAACTAATCCTTCACTGGTTTTTATGAGGGAGCTGGACGACCAATATTGGCATCTACCTCTCAGGGTTGGGAAAGCTGAGTGGGTAAAGGTGTGCAGCTCAGCCCAATACAAGCAAGCCTCCATGCTGATGAAAATACAGGAAAGTGATCCATGCTCTCTCTGCATCATGTGTGTGTTTTGGTGTGACGCATACACAAAAGCACATGGGCTTCTGTAAATACCTGCCATGGCTTGGGTTGTGTTACATACCAAAAATAACTGAAATATAAAAGTGCCACTGTATATTATCTCACATGAGCCTTGCAATAATCCCAGGAGGGGGATACTGCATATGGTGTTATCTGCACTTAGAGACGAGGACATTGAGACCCAGAGAGATTGTGTGGTTTGCACGGTGTCACACATCTGGAAAGGTGTTCAGGGGGAGACCTGAATCCAGATCTTTCCAGCCCTATGTTCACCCCCCAAACTCCCCCACACCATCCTCTCCTTCCAAATGGCCTTTCTCCAGGAGCATATGGTCTAACTGGGGAGATAAGATGCACACATAACTAAAGCACAATAAAAGGTATGAGACAACACACTGAACTGTGAAAGACAAAAAAATGAGTATGGAAAAGTAGGAAGGGAAGGGGAAAGGGAAAGGGGAATTTTATATAAATTCCTTTTAAAAATAATAAATCTACAGTTAAATAATTATTCTCAGAAAAGCACTGTTGACATTTCTGTTCTTATAAATGATGTTTCCTTATCAATCCACACATACAATTGCTTATTAACTATTTAACTTCCATGTTCGTTATCATTAATAACCAGATAGTTGTGTGTGTGTGTGTGTGTGTGTATGTGTGTGTGTGATGCACACGTACACACACACGTGGGTGGTAGGATATGTCAGCTAGGGGATAGTGATGCATCCTCAAGTATGGTGGGAAAATCTCAAGGGTCAAAGTTCAGCTCACACTTGTGTGCACTAACTGCCCCTGAACAAGGCAGAAAACCTCACTTTAGTAGAATAAGAAAGGGGCAGGATTTCAAAGTTCACAGAGCACTTTCTACCCATTACTGAACATCACCTGCACAAAAGTGTCAAGAAAGAAGATGCATAGGCACTGGTGCCTCTGTTTTAGGAATCACAGAACTGAAATTCCCAGAGTTTAGATGACTTGCCCAAGTCACCTAGCCAGGAGGTATAAAGGGCAGGATTTGAAACCAGGTCTGTCTGAGTGTGGCTGGCTCTCCACCTACTATGCCACACTGTCTCTCATCTTACATAGAGTGCTTTGAAGTTGGTCAAAACACTTTTATAGCTCATCTTTTTTTGAGCCTCAGAACACCCTGTAAAGTCTATATTGGAGACATTATTATCCGCATTTCACAGAGGAGGAAATGGAGGCTCAGATTGGGTAAGTAACTCATCCAGGACTGCAGAGCTGATAGGGCTCAGAGGTAGAATTCAAATCCAGGTGCTCTTGGGGCAGCTAGGTGGCACAGTAGATAGAGTACCAGGCCTGGAGTCAGGAAGGTCTGAGTTCAAATCCAGCCTTAGACACTTACTAGCTGTGTAACCCCGGGCAAGTCACTTAACTTTTGTCTGCCTCAATTTCCTCAATTACAAAATAGGGGCCGTAACAGTACCTACTTCCCAGGGCTGTTGTGAGGACCAGATGAGATAATAATCTCAAAGCCCTCAGTGCAGTGTCTGGTTAGCTACTGTGAACTATCATTACTTCTAGACTCCAAGGCCAGCATCCCACCCCCTTAGGCCACAAAGATCAGTTTACTGTGTTAGCGACCACGTATGATAGGGACTTTAGGAACAGGACCAGGGGAAAAAGGAGCCTTTTTCTGCTGACTCATCAGTAAGCAGTTAAGCCTCTGATTTCCCATTCCCACTGGCAGGCGGTGAGTCAAGGGACAATGTCCAGCCTTTTATCCTACTTGGCTGCCGCTGGCTAGGGCTGCATCCGAGTCATCACCCAGATGGGCTGAGAGAGCTCCTGGGCTTTTCCAAAGGTCCAAAGGGGAGAATGTGTTTTTGTCAATCTGCCCACCCAACAGGCTCCTGGGTAACTGGTTTCCCATGTGAGGAGTGCTTCACGATCCCAAGAGAAGCTTCCATGATATCATTATTCCCACCAGAAATGAAAACACTAGCTGGTTCCTCTCCCCCAAATTTTTTTGAACTTTTTAATCTAAACTAGTTCTAATCATCTCTCAGACCTCAGAGAACACTGATTTGAACCTCGGTGGTCCCTGCTCTCCTGCACTTCAAAGAATGGGAACTCAGTGGCCTGAAAGCTTTCAATGAAAGATGGGATCTGTCCTCTTGGTGCATATCCAACCCTTCCTTTTTCCAAACATGCAGCCTGATTTTCCATACATGCTAAATAATATGCCCCAGAAACATAAAGCCAAGGCAAATCTTTATATGCACAAACTTATATTACTCTCAAAATATGAGGAATTTATAAATAACATGAGATACTCTGTGACCCAACAACTGAGTATAATACACCTACAAAAACTACAAAATTGACTATTAAGAATGGCCTCCACCACCACCCCTAAAAAAAAAAAGAAAACTGATGTAGTCACCAGGACTTGACTTCCAGTAAGTCTGTTTATTTACACACATAGTAAGAGTGATAAGGGTTGGGAGGTATCCAGTGTCTACACGGGCTGGAAAGAAGACTTAAGGGCTACTTCTGATTCCAACCCAATTAATGACACCGTGGGCAGTGGGGAGCCTTGTAACCGCTCTCCTTCAACTGCAGGCTACAAATGATGCTTTGCTAACTGCCCCTTGGAAAACATATCAATAGCTTTTAAAATACTTAGAGATATCCTCATGTGGGACTTACCAGAGAAAACAAAATGATATGGCCATAGCAAAATCATGGTTTAAAAAAAATTCAAACTAAAATAGTTATTAAGATAGAATACTAATGTGCTATAAGAAATGACAAGCAGGATGGTTTCAGAAAAACCTGGGAAGACTTTTAAGAACTGATGCAAAGTG